TTTTTTTCCCCCCCCCCCCCCAGATGCCCCGAAAGTTTCTCCGTGTTGATATTTGTACGAGCGCTATCATTGCGTTGCGTTATTTTTCATAACGTAACGCTTTTGCGTGGAATTAGAGAAATAACTCAACGACTTGAGGTATTGGCTATTTACCGCACGCAAAAGCGTTGCGGTATAGGGCACATTACGTGCACGCGTGAGGAAAATAAATATACTCGCGAAATTATTTTTACTTATATTCTGTTATGACAGATTCATTTAGTAAATTCATACGACAAATCGGTGGATCTTGGTAATCTACCAATTAACAAAACGACAAGCAGAAAAGTGCCAGTGATCAACGATGGACGTGCTGCGCTCGAATTAAAATTTGATCTTATGAAGAATCTACCTGGGTATGATCCATTCCACGAAAGAATTCAAATTTGTACGTTGATCAATCAAGAGAACTCCAGAATGGATCGCACTCGAGCATCGATCACTGAAACGAAGCGTTCAAATACCATTGACGAAACTTTTCGAACTAACGAACCTAATCTGGCTCAAGTTCTGGAGATCGAGCCAGCAGAATCGATTATACTTCAGCCAGGAAAGACTGTGAATATTGTCGTAAAGTATAAACCTACTCGTAGGATGCAACCTTTTGTCGCTAAGATGGCTTTTCAAACAAATTCCACAATCCAACCGTTATTTATCCTGCGTGGAAGCTGTATAGGCGCCGAATTCCGTTTGAACAGGACTCATGTGCTTTTTGGTATCGTTGTTCAAGGTTGTGTCAGCGAAGCAAAGATAATGCTATTGAATACAGGAGATATTGGTGCCAGGTTAGTGCCATAAACAAATAAAAAATAAACAATAAATATAAGACTTTATATAATATTATATAATATTAATCTGAAAAATTAGAATCCGTGTGAAGCTGGTCCCCCAATATTAAAAAATCGATTTTTTTCTTCATGCATTTGTTTGCTCATCGTTTGCTCACCCTTAGTTCAAAAGATAAAAAAAAATAAGTTTTGGTATCGAATTAAAAAATCGATTTTTTTCTTCATGCATTTGTTTGCTCATCGTTTGTTCACAAATCTTTTGAACAAAGGGTGTGTTCCAAAATTGACTGCCAGTATAAAAAAAACCTATAGTGCTCGTGACGTAAACTATAGATTTTCAGTACTGGCAGTCAATTTTGGAACACAGCCTAAGGGTGAGCAAACGAAAATTCCAACTGAGCATTCGTGAGCAAACGATGAGCAAACGAATGCATAAAGAAAAAAATCGATTTTTTAATATTGGGGGGCTAGTGTGAAGTTAGCCCTCCAAAACATAATTTTCGTATATCTTTTGAACAAACGAATGCATAAAGAAAAAAAATCGATTTTTTAATATTGGGGTGTCAGCTTTACACGGGTAAAATTAGAAGGTTTTGAAATATTTTTTGAAGTTAGGGTAAGGTTGCTGAAATCGCCTCACTTTGCACTTAAAGGCACACAGCTAAGAAATTATAAAGAATATTAAATTTATTTAATTATTAGAAACGATTCTTTATTACAAACGATTGAAGCGTTCTTTATTTTTTATATGGTTTTTTTCTCTCCGATATTTTACGTGTATTCGTTCTTATTATTATGTAATTTATGTTATTACGTTTTCATCAGTTTATCATGAGATAGAGATATTAATTATTTAAATTTAATAACGTCGTATGACCTATCAATCTCCAGATTCAAGTGGAATACGTTGAAATTACCTGAGGATTTTAACATTACTCCTGCAACTGGCTACTGCTCTCCTGGCATGAATGTTAACTTCATTGTCAGTTTCCAACCCACTCAGCATGATACTTCGATCGAGGGCAACGTGAGCGTCATCTTCTACCTTTATATCTGTGCACAAAATACTTAATCTTCGGTGAAAAACTCGGCTTCTTTTACTCCTACAATATACGCCAAACATAAAAGTAGTTTAAGTAATATATTGTATCTCTTGCCATATTTCTATACATCATATATTTAACTTTCTAAAATAACTTTTTCCCTCAGAACTTAAGAACACTCGTGTGCTTGACGTATGAAGAGTAGACTTTCAAAATGCATTTCGTGTCCAAACTATTATTTTTTATATTAAAAATGGCGTAGTATTCAATAATAAAAGACACATATTATTATAGCTACTTTGGAATTAACAAGCAATTTTTTATCAATTTATATACTGAAAAAAATCTATCGACATTTTATGTGCATTATATCATTTAACTGTAGACAAACAAAATGCATTTTATTTAACATTATTACAAGTTATTTGGCAATTTGTTTAACATTTTACATCTTACTGATAAGCATAATATTGTTATTTTCTGCAAGGCGCATGATTTCCTTATGGCTTTTTCCTCGCGTTTTCTGAAAATTATAAATTTTTGATAAAACTTATTTTGAAAAAGTTTATTTCTCATATATTCTAGAATCTTTGTTATGTTTTAAATAAATTATTTAAAAAATTTATTAATACTATAATTTTAATAAAATGACAATATAATTGTTATTTAAAAAATATTTACAATATACTTATAAATTCCATCATAATTTATATTAAATCTGCTATCAATTTTAAACACAAGTATAACAAAGAATCTAATCGAACATACGAGATGTAATCTACGATAAAAGGAGTAATTTATTTTATTCTCAGGCGACGCTTGAAATTGAAAAATATAAAGATCTCTGCATAAGAATTACTGGAGTTAGCTGCAAACTGCCTGAACCAATCGACACTCTATTCTTCTCGTGTCGCGTTCGTGAAAAAATAATAAGGGCTCTGAACGTTGAAAATGATATTGTAACTTGGAAACCGGAAATCATCGGCGAATATTTCTTTGTCGACGAGATCCCGTACAATTCTTCGAAAAAATCTGCTACCTGTATAATCGCTTATGCCCCTCTAGTCATGAATAGCGAAAGTAATCTTCACGAAGTAATTAAAAGAGAACATGGTTAACTTTTCATAAAATAAACTGTATTGTATTATCATAAAATAAACTGTATTGTATTATTTTTCATAAAATAATTCTGTAATAAAATATAGAGTAGTTGTATAATTTTAATGTAAAAGCAACAAGTCGAGAGAAACGTAAATATTATATTTCCATAAACTATTTCAGGGTACATTGATTCTAAAATTACCGGATAACAAAGCTCCTTTAGTATATTGCCTTCGAGGGCTTAGTCTACCTCCACAAATTCTTCAAAGGATTACACGTCAATTCCCGGCAAAGACAAAATACACTGAATTGTTACCTGTTTACAATTGGCTCAGTAGGCAACAACGATTCAAATGTAAAATTGAGAATATAGACGACAAAAAGGCCGTTAAGGTTTAAAAGTTGTATAAGAGATTACAAGAAATTATGAAATAATTATAAAATTTATATTTTCATTTCTTAATTTGCTTTTTAGAATGTCGAAGAGTTTTCTTTCGTCGGTAACAGCAAAATAGACGTGCCGGCAAACGGCCAACGAGATTATCGCGCAGAATTTTATTCCTACAAAGAATCAAAATATAATTTTAAGGTAAATTATTGTCAGAAAACACAAATAACGTAAAAATTATTTTAAAATAATTTTAACAGATAGGGCTTTCAAAATAATAATTTTATGGGTACATAATTTCAATTGTTTCATCTTCGGATAAACTATGTGATAATTTACTTACTGGATAAACAAAAGAGTAAAAGAGTAAGACTATAAGAGATTAAGAGAATAAGACAGTGAGAGCTAAAGTTTATCAAAAGATGGAACAACCCAATCTTAACTGTTCAGAATGTAAAATTATATTTTGCAAAATAATTAGAACTAAATGTGTGCACAGATAACGTTCACTAATGAGGAGAACGAATATCAATTTTACGAACTCCAATATGATATAACAAGACCACAGGAAATTGAATCGATCAAACTGATGACTGTAGTACGGTCTCCGGTGTGCCATGCTTTAAAACTCGATAATCCACTTAAGAAGCAGCACGTAACATATACAGCAAAATGTCAGCATCCCTGCATCATAATCCATGACGTACCAAAGTTCGTGGCACCTTTATGCAGCGTTAGTAATTGAATTTTGTCTACAACATACAATACAATTGCAATTAAATTAATAATCCTATTTTTGGTCGAAGCGGATCTTAAGTGCTTAATAGTATTTATATATGCCGAGATATATGAAAATTTACTATTTCTGATAAAAAAAAGAACTGAATCAAAAAGTCCTCTACCATTTTGCAATTTTCTTAATAGTTAACGGAATATTAATTTCTAAAAATTACCGAATAAACGGATAAAATCGATGCATATGACAATTTTAAGATATCTTTCAGTGTTTTGTATGAAATATTTTGAAGATGTTTCGAAAAGAACTCTTAAAAGATATCTTAAAGTATACTTGGCTCTTTGCCCTTCTTATATTTATATTATTTTAAACATATAGAGCCTTTCCATGATTTATTTTATATCTTAAAGTTGTCTTATGCATCGATTTCAGATATTTTGTTTATCGGGTAACAAAAAAATATTGCGAAAATTGCAAAATGATAGAGGACTTATCGACTCAGTTTTTTGTCAGGAATAGCTCTATATAATTAGTAGGCATTATTTAAGAAACACTGTATGAAAGAGATCTTGTTCCTTTTGTTGGACGCTTGGGGTCCTTGCAACAAAACAGATCTCCGTGCACTGAATGGATTTCTTACATGAATGCGTCAAACGGTCGGACAGCTCTGTCTACTAAATCGGCTTATATATTCGTCAATTTTTCGAATTTCGAAATAATATTTTAGGAACATATTTCTTAAATATTTTACTATCAGAAAATAAAAGAACAATTTTTTCGATTTTTTGAATGTTCTAGACTAGAGGATCTCCCCTTGAAAAATAGTATTCTTTCTCTTATTTATTTATTTTTATCTGTTAGATTTTTACTTATAATTATTAATACGTTGCAAGTTAAAAATAAGTTAAATTTTCCGATAGTATATTAAAATATTAATCTTTTGGGGTCCAAATTTATTCGCAAATATAAGCGAAAATCAAGTATTTCATCTTCAGTTTTATCTAATTGACTGATTTAAAATAAATCAAAGATTTTTTTATTACTCAGAAAAATTTTATAAAAGTTCCACAAAAGTATATCGTTTATCGATTGTAATCGCGAATTGAATGCTTGAAGAATTATGCAATGAGCTACCGCATTGTACGAAAGAACCATAAAAGGTTAATAATTAAGAAATTATATGCGCAAATTTATAAACGAAATAAATTTAATCGCGGCCAACAAACAATAATAGTACCAATAACGATCTCCGTGAATGTGATAGGAAATTATCAGTATCGAGTACCGTCCTTTACATCCCGCCGAGGAAACCACCGTAGCCTTGGATGTCAATTGCGAGGAGCTCGGATTGTTTCCCTACGAGCTGCGATTGCGAGCGATACCAGCATCGCCGGAGAAAACGACGCGCGTCGACGCGGTGCTCGGTAGTTCCGTCACCTTCTCCTTGAACGTAATCAATCACGCCGAGAATACTGCAGTATTCACTATCAAGGTGAGCATAATGCGTTTCTTCTTCTTCTTTTGTTACAACGATCAATGGAAGAATCCTTTTCATACATTCTAGGTGAATAATGAATGCTTCATTACTCCGAAGGATATCGAGGTACCGGCGTTGAGAAGTGCATCCTTTGACGTAACTTACGAACCCTATGACATCGAAAACGTCTCTGCTACTTTAATAGCCACATCCGAGATTGCTGGCGAATTTGTGTACGATAATTCGCAATTAAAATCGTTAACCCTTTGCAGTTTTATATCGAATTAAATTCAGCGTTTATATACATATATTACTAGTTTATCGCATAAATTTTAAACGTTCGAATCTGTACGCGATTAAAATTGGCAAACTATATTTCCAAAATTTCTATAAATTCCTTGAAATAATGAAAAAAAATTTTTTTTAATTTGTGTATTAAACTAATCGATTACATAAAACTAAAAATAAAATGGTAATTAATTTTTTATTCATTTTGACATAATTTGAACATCAAAAGGTTAAATCGTCCTGTTGATTGCTACGTTATTAAACAGTTATATAATAAACCATAAATATATACGTAATGTGTTTTGTATAATTTGTTTATAATACAGATTTCCTCTCATCGGTACGTATTCGTTACCGAAACCTCAAGGACCGTATACAATTGCTATCAATGCACCTGCTTCTATACCCTTCAAGAATATATTTAGAGAAACCAAATCTTTCGAGCTTATCTTGGACGATCCCGAAGTTTTTGTAACAACGATGTCGTTGGACAATATTAAGCAACAACAGGTAATCCTTGATTGTTTAATTATCTTTTCTTCACGCGTGCACGTAATGTGCCCTACACCCTAACGCTTTTGCGCGCGGTATATAAATAAACAATACCTCAAGCCGTTAAGTTATTTCTCTAATCCCACTCTTCTGCGCAAAAACGTTGCTGTATAGGGCACATTACGACGAGCACTTGTAAAGAATAATTCTATGTGTAACAGTGGGGGCATATTTGTTTATAGGTCGACACGGGCGCGCGTACGCACTACTAGCTTCGCTCGTGCCGTCGCGCCCGTCCCCACAATAAACAACATTCCCCCACGGTTACACAATGTACTATTTTTAAATGATAATCTCTGCGAGAATGAAAATATTTATTTATCTTCTACATGAAGAACTTTATGACAAATTTGTATATTTTTAATAATGGGAAGAATGTAACATTTTATAAGATTATTTGTTAATTATTACCCAGACAGCACACAACATCCATTGAACATCCAGACTTGGTTTCAATCTGGTCCATACGTCCATGGATTTAGTACGAATGTTTTAAAAATGTACGTTATTCAACGTATAAAGTATGTTTACATTTGAACATTTAAAAAATGTTTATCTCATGCAAAAAATTTTCTAAGTCTGCTTGTGACGTATTGCTTTCGTTGACTTGCGAGGTGAAAATTTTTTTATGATCGCACGAGGACTTTTACTTTTGATATCTCCGGTAACGCGAAAATTTATTAAATTAAAGCTTAATTCAGATATGCAACAAGCGACAAGCAACAATAGCTTGCTGCTCGCAATCATAATAGTTAGGAATCATTTTGCTTTCAGTGTGCAAATTTGTCTGGATTGTGGTCAAAAATTTATTTAATATATTAATTTAGTCCAGTTTTAGTCCATTGCATCCTAAAATGGACGTTTTTAAGAAGTCCAAAATGGTAACACTGGATATTTTTAAAACGTTTTTAAAATATCCATGGATCTAATCTGGATGTTTTTAATATGTCCAAACGTCCAACATGTACGTTTTAAATACATTTTTTAAACATTACTGTGCTGTCTGGGTACGGTATCAAAGTATAGCGAAAATAAAAATCGGAGCGTAAGTCGAATGTGATGGATTCTGGGCTTTAATTGACTGTACCTTTTCTGCTTTCTGCTTTTCTATCAAAATCTAAACTCACCCTAAAGAGAGAACAATAAGCGTAAACAAAGCTTTTAGAAAGCGAAATTTGAAACAAAATCGTCACTTTCTCTTTATATTTGACTTATACTGCAGTCTTTATTAATATAAATTATATAAATCAATATTACAAGGTGATCCCTATTGTCGTTCGACTAAAAGATAGTGGAAAAGAAGAAATGGAAAAAAATTATCCAGTAACCGGGAAACTTCTGGTGTACTGCACAGATCCCAAGATTTCTCACATAAATTGGATTTATTATTTAAGAGGTGTACGCGAATAATATAAATGAGTAACATGTTAATATCTAACGAGATATGTATTGCTTCACACTTTATCATACTTTATCACATTTTTTTCTTGTGATATAAAATATTGTGTTTGATTAAAATAATAAATAATAATTATATCATTAAAAAAAATAAAATACGCGCTCTTTTCATGTTTTTATGTTCTGTATGTGAGGGATCATCTAAAAAATATCTAAAGATTTCTATTTCACGTATAACTTTATGTATAATTTTATCATTCTTTTATCACTATTTCATTTATGCGTTTTTGCATATTAAAGAATTTTACAACAGTTGCAAAACTGCTTTCTCTGCTGAACGCAGCCATTTTATCCTTATTGTTCACCAAATATTAATTTTATACACACGATGAATCATTCATATATTCTGGGTTAATTTTTATTATTTTACAAGTGTACAAAAATTATTAAATGATTCTTACATATATACTTTACAATTTTCAGAAAGCATTAATAAGATTGTGTACTTAAATAAAATTATATATAAATGTTATAACTGATTATTTGACGTTTCTACATAGTTTTTTCAAAAAAAAAAAAAAAAGAATGTGCTGGACGAAAGATCCAGCTGTAGATTAAAGATTAATTGAGAAGGATTAAGATTAAAAAATAATGAATTAATACATTATGCGTAAACAGAACGCATTTTGAAATTGTACTCCGCTTATCCGTTATACACATCGACATCTAGAATAATATAGAATTTTAGAATAAACTGCTGATGGCAGTGATGGGGGTAAAAAAACGAGTAGAGAGTCAGGTAATTGGATGATCGTTCCATCTTCTTTCCGAGCAAGATCCTGGCACATCGTAACAGGGCCCCGATCGTAATAATAAATATCGACAGAATTGATTTTTTCACAACGAATAAAATGTCATATATATATATATACATATAATTTATTTTTATATATATTACTATCTTTTACACTATAAACAAGTAACGTAACTAATTAAACGTGTAACAATGTACTCATTTTTGGTCAAAGGCATCCTTGATCACAGCATACGCTACTGTTGGATTAACAACAACCAATCAGGCTTCAGTAAACAGAGAAAGAACGATCATCCAATTGTCGTATCTTTCACTCTACTCGTCTTTCTACTCCCACCACTGCCATCAGCAGTCAGCAGTTCATTCGTGATGATTGTATGTCTTTACTTTACTCGTACACGCGTAGTAACGCCAGCAACATGCGCCTCGCTCGTGTTAGTGTCTGTTAGTATCACTCGACGGAGTACGGAGTCGTATCAGTTGTGTTGTCCATAGTGTCGTCGAATGTGAACGGTCGAATTTGCAATGAGAGCCATAATAATTCGCTACGTGTAATGGTGGGTAGTGATTAATAACTTCGTAAACACGGAAAGTTTCAGAATTATTTCCGGCTAAAATCGTCGCCCGCGTCAACATTTGATTTTCGTGAAAACCGGCATCTCCTGGATCCTGGATCCCCGTGATCGCCGCGATCGCTCCGTAATGAGAAAACCTAACCTAATCTAATATTTCCGCGACGGGTTTACGATTCGGCACTGCTGTCGCTATCGCTGCGCTGTAGTTATTCTAATTCTTTGTAAAACGTCAGTATCGCTCGTTTCGTTCCGTCTGCAAAAAAAAAAAAAAACGTTATCTCAGCGAAGTCAGATTCGTTATAACCTTGACAAGGCGCAATTGCGTTCAATGACAACGCGTAGGAGCAGCTCGAGTTGGTTGATCTGACAGGGTCAGGCTGATTAGGCATGCACCTGATGCATGCGGTACAATTATACGCGAGTGATTATCTTCGGGTGTGTTTACTGTGCGTACTTTCGTTCTACGTCGTGCTACCATGAGCGAGGAGATTAAGAAGGTAGTGACCAGATTCCACCCCATTCACGGTGAGAACATCCTCCTATGCGAGGACGGTACAGTCGCGGTACGGACTACGAGCTTTGCCAATTCGGTGGCCTTCAGTGAGAAGCCGCTGCAACCAGGGGAGATCTTCCTCGTGGAGATCGAAAAAACGGAGATAGGATGGAGCGGACACATGCGGCTGGGTCTCACTCTGATTGATCCGGATTCAGTCAACAACAACCTGCCTCAATATGCGATGCCCAATCTGGTTAGATTAGGCAACACATGGATCCTCGCTATTACTAGGAATCAAACTATCTGGGACAATTTTGACAGTCTATCATCCACATACACCTCTCTCACAGGTATAAATAGGTTTATATTAATCTTTAACTAAGTTTTATAGGCCTTTTACAATAAGCCATTACCTAAGTTTTAAGTATTAAGTCATAAGAAATTGACCACTCACAGTCGATTATTCTTCTCACATTCGATTGTGATTGGTAAATTTCTTGTGATTTAACACTTAAAACTTAAGTAATGGCTTATTGTAGAAGGCCCATTACATTTACTTTTCTCTTTTTTATAAATATATGACTTTTGCGAATTACATCTTGCATTGAGGCTGTATGCTTATTTCTATTTCTATTTATTTTCATTGAGCCACCTTTTCATATTGCTTGACTGGCTATGTTTATACCGTGCGCTTAGTCCTCGACCTATACGATAGGTGTCTTTGTTTAACCTACAGGATAAACAAGGACATCTATTGTATAGGCCACGGCCTAAATGCATGGTGTAAACGTAGCGACTATCTATAAATGAATAATGAAAAAAATAGTTATAAAATCACTATAATAATTTTCTAAAAATTTTCTTTATTAATATCATTGCTGTTAATTTTGGGAACTTAAAGGAGAAATTCACTAAAAATGAGAAGGTCTAATAGAAAGAACTATTATGTTTGTAACAAAATTGTTATGATGTTTAAAAATATAATTATAAGAATATCAAGGCACAAATATAAAGGCAAGAACAATAATGGAAACGTGGATTGGATGAATTTAGAATTTGTATGTTGCATATTATACACTTGTTGTATGTCTACTACTTCTATATGTCTAAAAAGGTATACCACCAGGAATACCAACCAGAGAGAAGAAATTGGTCACAGATGGAGTCAATGTGCAAACATCACGTGGTGTTATTCCTTTCAATGCTCTAAAGCCAAATATAGACGGTTCTTCTCAATGCATTCTGCCTACGGATACAGGTAGTCGTATCGGTATCATGTATGTGCCACAGGCCGGTTGTCCTGATAAAGCAGAAATGCATTTCATCATCAACGGTGAGGATCAGGGTGTATGCGGCAAGGATATTCCTTATAAAGCAGGACCATTGCGTGCGGTAGTAGATGTCTACGGTACCACGAAACAAGTTCGAATAGTTCAACTGTATGGAGGTAAGTCTATGTCGCTGCGCTTGACTTAGCGCCGAGACACTACTGTGTCTCCAGATATCTCTCAAGTTCCGTTTCTTTATTTGGCACGATATCTAGATGGTTTCTGTATGTTTCAGCAGTATCAACACTACAGAGTGCATGCCGTGACGCTATATTGCAATACACTAAGAGAAACGCAGTCAATCAGCTCCCTTTGCCGAAACTACTGAAGGACTATCTCTTATATCAATCGCAGTGAGAATCAGCTCATTCCGCATATATTTAGGAGATGTTACCCGACAATTTCTGTATCTTTTCCCAGTGATATCTTCAGTGTTTATATATGCGTAATGTATGTTTGATTTATTATCGAAGACTGCCGAATCATGTCGATTTAAAATGTTGGTACGAATTCATTCGTAAATAACAGATTCGTTTCTACAAACATATCTTTTTAAAATGTATACGATAAATGATTGACTATGGCTGGTATTTATAGTTGGTTCTTATATTTAAGAATGTCTTAAGGGGATCCTAAAGTCATCTGTATTAACCAACTAAATGCAATAATTTTTGCATAACAAATACGTTTTTTCTCTTTCGAATTCAAAAGTCGAATTCAAAAGTTTTTCAGGATTAAAGTATATGTGTATTAATAAGTAGAATTTTATGTCGAGGACGACTAAGAATTTCGAATTGATATCTTTTTCTAGGCCGATATTTATAGTCAATTCTTATATTTGAGATTGTGTTAAATACAATCTTAACATATCATAAGCTAATCAGAAGGCTACATTAGCATCTTAGGACATTATTTAAGACAGTCTTAAAACACAAATAGACTATGAATATCACATAAAAGCTATATAATCCATATTTACGAAATAGTCTAGATTCACAACCTTATTTTAAGAAATCGTAAGTCGTAATAAGTTATAAGTTGTAAGATATATCATACGTTGATATATCAACGGGTTGTTGATATATCAACCAGAGAACTTGTGCTTTTAGGTAAGAATTGGGTTTTACTCAATTCGCTTAAGTCTAACGATTAAAGACTAAAGATTATTCAAAAGCAGTTTAAAGACAGAAATTAATGTCATTTAACTTCTTCCGACTTACTGCTTAATGCCTTTTAAAGCAAAAAAGGTTGTGGACCAAGACATAATGGTTTACAAATTAGTAGTTTGCATGAAGAAATAACATGAAGTTTTTCAAATTGAACTTAGACGTCTAATCTAATAGCATCTTAAGATTACTTAAGACGATCTTAAAATAAAAACTATGAATACCGGCCTTATATTTACATAATGGAGATTCCTTTTTACTTGCGCATTTTGAAGATTTTTCTGGGGCAGAAATCATAATGTACATATAGTGTAACGAAATGTTGATCGCTGCAAAATCGAAAAATTCAGCGAGATCATATTGAAAGTTTAAATATATACATAACTATCATTTGAAAATGACTCATTTGAATATTTAACTTTTATGGCATAACCACAGTATAACCATACCCAGTAGCGACACTTTAAATGTATCGGCGCTGCGATTAAAACGTATGCACGGAAATATAACACAAGAACAAGAACCTTCTAATCCCTTTTCATGTCTTCTCATTACTTCTTATTTCTTTTATTTTGTAATATACGTGCAATATCGGGTATTAGATTATTTGTGTCTTCATATGTACGTATAAATATAATTTAAAAAATATTTTAATAAATATGCAACATTCTCAATTTGAGTGATAAATCTGAAGAAAATACATTAATATCAGGTAAGCATTTTAATAATGATTATATCACTCTTTTCTAGTAAAATAACGATCAATTTATTATTATTATTAATTTCAAGAAACGAAAGTCACACGAAGAACGGGGTGCTTTCCAGCTACGACACAAGTAGACCCAGTGTAACATAGTGAATCATTACATCCTTATTGTTTGCCTATGTTAAACAAGGATGAACCGATTCTCTGTGTTACACAGTGTCTGATTCCGTCCTTGCTGGAAATCACCACCCCGTCATGAAACTGTAAATTGAGGTTGCCTGTAATACGTGTACTCTGGATGCATCCATATTGTTAAATGTACAAATTCACACATGCGTACTGAAATTTGGTCAAGGTCAAACCGACTAGTGTCGCTACTGGGTATGGTTATACCGTGGCATAACGCCATAAAAGTTAAATATTTTTTCGGGTAGTTATTTTCATTCTACTTCTATTTCCTGATTTCTCTATTTATTATGATATATGTAAATTATGTTACATAAATTTAGTTAATTGGCATTGTTGTTGACAAGCAAAACTGATGTTAGTATAAGTGTCTAAGGCAAACTTGTTTTACAAAATAAAGGTATTTATAAGAAGAAAATAGAAAACTATCATTGATATCAGAATCCAGTCTATCCGTACATCCAATATATTTTATACACATAAACTTACATATATTTTTTTTAATTTATCTTGTTATATAATCGTATCACTTGACAACAGATACATATCTTTAGCAATGTCATTTAAAATAAATCTACATCATATGTTAGAGAGAGAATTAATGTGTTATGTGGTATAGTACGTAGGGAAACATATGCTCAACAGTACAATATAAGCGAGAAACACGCTTAGGAACGCTAACCATCCTATGAGCACTATAATATATTTCCATGGTGATCTTTTGCAATTTGATTGCACGAGGTCGGTATTATCGTCCACATCTGCTTCTATCTTGGCAGTCACGGCTGGATCTAGAATGCTAATTAAAAGAATCTGTCCAACTCGGCTGCGCAAAATGGATGTCGTGACGGTTGAGATCCACATGGGTGGCTCGGTAGTCAATTCTTGCAGATGCCGCAAGATACTGGTGATAATGAGAGTGAACGTTGCTATCCCAAGAGAGCTCTCATAAAAGAAGACTAAGATAAGGAACATTTGAGATTGTTTTCCTTCCTTCCCCTCTTATTTCTTTCTTATTACACGTAATGAAATTAGAAAAAAATATCTATAAAGCTATAACGGTCATGCCAGACGTTTACAAATTAAATACATAATTGGGTAAATTAATTTTACAGAAATTAATATATTGAAATATTAGGTGCAAGATGTTGAGAATTGTAGATTTAAGATGAATGATATTATAAATAGCAATTTTTTAAGTTATTGTCTTATTAAATATACTTACGCATTTTGGGAACGTTAAAGCCTGTCTTTGGTATTTCCCAATGCATGCCTTGTATACATAATAAATGACAAATAAAATTGAGATTAGCAATCACCATTCGCTCGAAGGATTTCGGTTCTAACCACAGTGTCATCAGAGTCATCACCATTAGTACTGTGAACATTATGTGAAACTCAATTTAAATATTAAAATTAATAGAAAAAGCAATTAAAATTAATTTACTTGTTGAAAATTAAGTTATTGTCTATTAATACGTGTATATGAAATTTAAATTATTAAATATTGTTTTTACAAAATGTTATCGCTGGTTTTCGCATATACATTGGATAAATAAAGATAGTTTGTAAAGTAAAACACACTATACGTACCTATAGCAGGTGATAAAAATACAATGCGTATTATATCCGAATGACTTCTCAGAATAAAGTGAAAAGAAAGCATTTTGATGACCGAATCCGAATTGTACTTGTATCTATTTTCCCATTTTGATATATAAATTTTCTCTAAATTCCACTCGCTGTGCTTTACTTCTATATTTGACTGTATAATTATTCAATTAGCAGATTGAAGATTAAAAGTAGATATTGTAAAAATATTACTAAAAGATTTAAATGTTTCATGCACTTAATATACAAGGTATTGCTTGCAAGGTATAATAAAAATAAATTTGTTTTCATGGAAAAAGAAAAAATTACCAAATTCTGGTTGGAAATGAGTTCGATCTCATCACCAGAATGTGACCACGATCCAAATTGTATAGTGCAATTCAAGATATTGTATGGCCACCATGTTAGATCTGTGAAACAACTCGAGGTATACTTTGCTGCCACAAACCATCTAACTGTTCCTTGTCTCGAGACCCAACATTTTGAAAGTCCATCATTCAGTGAGCTTTCTCCAAATTGTCTAAACGTATAAATAATTTTATAAATTCTGCTTAAATCTAATATTAAACATTCCACAATTTAAATGCAGAAGTTAGGAAACATCAAGATATTTTCTAAGGTAATTCAAGGGAAAATGCCACACTTTTAAGACTTAATTTGTAACTTCTTTATAATGTTATTAAATTAATCTATGAAAAAATATTGTATTCTAGAAACCTTTTTTTATTTATGCAAATTAACGAATTAAACTTTTGATATTCCGTATTATTGGAAAAATTGATATGTCAATTAATAAGAGAATATAGTATACCCATTGCTTACCCGTTATGCATCAAAACATCAGGTATCCAAATTTGATAACCTGTTACGGATATCCATTTGATGTTGTCGTATTGTGCAGGATCCCATGTCAAATGTGAATCATTCCATATCTGTCCAATTAAAGTATTTAATATCAAGCTTAAACTTACGTTTAGAAATTTATAAAATAAATGTTAATTATTCATATATATATATATTTTTTTTTTTTTAAATAAAGCAAACTAAAAGACTTCTCCCAACGAATAAGATTTAAACTTATAAAAATATATATAAAGATTGGGGAGCCAAGCAAGATATTTCTGCTAATAATATTTACATTTAATAATGCTAATACTTATTATTAAAAAACAAAACTTACGTACGTTTCGACCATATCACCATCAGTGTAATAAAATTAATTAAAATAACTTACTTATGTATAAATTCCTGATACAAAGATTATATTATGAATCTTACATTTCCGACGCAAATAGATGTCATGTAGGTCAAATTATGACGGTGTTGATTCCGTAAAATTAAGATATATTATAGCATATAAACGGATAAACATTTTTCCGCAGTGGATTTCAGTTACATGTCGATAATTCGATTTACAGTTTTTTTTTTTAATAAAAACCAAAATATTGGGAGTACAAATTAGTTCGGTCCGTTTTCCAAAAGATGATCGCCTCCAAAGACGAGTCATTTTTTCGAGATGGAATTCGAAAATTGCCTGAGAGATGGGAAAAAGTAATAGCCGCAGCGATGGACAATACTTTAATTAAACGAATGTAAAGTGTTCCCAAGAACAGGCAAATACTTTAATTAATCTGTTCATTCATTTTGTTTTGAAATAAATGCATTTCTGAACACAAAAAACGGACCGAACTAATTTGTACACTTAATATAATCTAAATAATTTG